ATTCCCGACCGATTCCGATTCCCGGGTTTATGTTTGGTGCCCCCCCCGTTTCCCCCCTGTGTGGATACAGTGTGTGTTTGGTTTCATAGACCGGTACGGGCGTGTCTGGGGCGGGTGGGGTTTAGGTGGGGTTTAGGTGGTTTTCGGGGGGGGGGGGGGGGGGGGGGGCAGAGGGACGCTATTTTCCGGACGCCATTTTTCTTCTCTTGGATCCGGAAACTGTAAAAGGTTCCTGGTCCGATTCCCGACCGATTCCGATTCCCGGGTTTATGTTTGGTGCCCCCCCCGTTTCCCCCCTGTGTGGATACAGTGTGTGTTTGGTTTCATAGACCGGTACGGGCGTGTCTGGGGCGGGTGGGGTTTAGGTGGGGTTTAGGGGGTTTTCGGTGGGTTTTGGGGGCGGGGCTACGCCAGAGAGTAGATGGCGTTGACCGGGGACGTGGCCTCGGAGCTCTCGTTGCCCTCGGTCTCGTCCTTGTCCTTCTTCACGGTGTACTGGCCGATGAAGGAGCCGTCCTCGTTGAACTGGCCGTCCCCGCCCTCGCCGTAGTCCACCAGGCTGTCGTCGCTCTCCTTCACCGGCCCGTCCAGGGACGTCCGGCTGCCCTGGAGAGGTTTGTTGTCCTCGTCGCTGCTGCAAAAGGCGAAAAATAAATAAATAAAAATAAATAGAGGAAGCTAGGAAGCTTTAACCCCGTAATGCCAAAATGTGTCAGGTTTTCCAGCGGGGGAAATAAGTATTTGAGCCCCTTGCTGATTTTGCAGGTTTGCCCACTTACAAAGAATGCAACGAATATAGCCATTTACCCTTATCGGAATAAGATAAGATAAGATAAGATGAGATAAGCCTTATTGATTTCACAGTGGAGAAATTCACTGGTCACATCGGTTTAGTGACTACAGAAGGGGAAAACAAGGAGGAAAAGGTGCATAAAGTATAAACAAGCACTGTATATACAGTGTGTCAGAAATACAGTGGGGGAAATAAGTATTTGACCCCTTGCTGATTTTGCAGGTTTGCCCACTTACAAAGAATGCAACGATCTATAACTTTAATCATATGTACATTCTAACAGTGAAAGACAGAATACCAAAGAAAATTCCAGAAAATCATGAATATGAATTTATAAAAATTGATAACCATCT